TCCTTTATATAAAATTTGTACCATATGATATCACAAAGATGGAAACATAAAATTTATAAATAAATCTTGATAGAAATGAAGGCACAATGTCATTATTATAAATAAGGAAAAGTCTACAATGTGCACCTTATAAAAAGGCATATGATATGCACTTATTCTATGGCCCATATCGTGCCACATAATAAAAATGACCTGCTAAACCGGTCATGTAACAGGTTACAGAAAGAATCATAACATTCATTGTAATATCATAACAATATTACAATGAATCATAACAATTTCATAATATTCACCAAAGTGTCATAACAAAGACACTATAAATCATAACAATATGATAACAACTCATAACAAATATAGTTATTTGTAATTAATTATCATAACATTTGAATCGTAACATTTGAATCGTAACTTTTGGTGGTACAAATCATAACTTTTAGTGACGATTCATAACCATAACACATTGAGTATAAAATTTTAACTTTCAATATTTTCCTGTTGTCCGTTACTGGCCATCTATTCTTCCTTCGTTCCCACAGACGGCGCCAAATTGTGTGGGTAAAAATCTGACCACACTGCCCGTTTAGTGATCAGCAGCAAAGCACTGGCAGAATAGATGGCTCCAGCAACCTGTAACAGAAAGGAAAAGCTCCGGCGGTGGTTCTTCCACCCGGGGGCACTCTGACGATCAAGTCAGTATGTTTCTCAAGGATAATCAAGTATTAAACTGAATACTCAAAGTATGAATTACATACCTTAGACCCACGGGGGTGCCTCTCTTTTATAATATACTTAATCCAAGTCCAACTAGAAATATGACTTCTATGTACCCCAATCTTAGTACTTACTCTGGACTCTTTAGGAGATAGAGATAAACTCCCTAAGAGGTTTATCCTTATCTTAATTAAGTCCCCTCTTTGCTTCAGGACTCTTGTCCCTTATCTCCGGATTCCGACATCTTCGGAGATGACCTCGGCTTCTCCGAGATTACCTCGGCTTAACTACCAGGGCACGTGGCACCTCGGCTGACACGTCGGCGTCACCATGCCACGTGTTGGTATTCAGAAAATATGTCCCCACACTTAGTCTATTTTATTTTAATAACTATTTTATTATCCATTTTTTTATTCACTTTGCTTGGTTCTATTTTTCTAAAAACATTTATCAAAAAATTCTACTTTCTTATTTTTTGTATTTTTTTTTTGTTTTTGTTTTTACTGAATTTTTTTAATATTTTAAACAATTTTTTTTTTTTACTTTTTAAACATACCTAACATAAATATACCTAAAAAGTAAAAAAATTGTGAAAAAACCTTTTAAAAATTTACTAAATACCAAAAATACAAAAAAAATACAAGAATTCAATACATTTTTTGTATTTTTATGTATTATCCATTTTTTTATTCACTTTGCTTGGTTCTATTTTTCTAAAAATATTTATCAAAAAATTCTACTTTCTTATTTTTTGTATTTTTTTTTTTTGTTTTTGTTTTTACTGAATTTTTTTAATATTTTAAACAATTTTTTTTTTTACTTTTTAAACATACCTAACATAAATTTATCTAAAAAGTAAAAAAATTGTGAAAAAACCTTTTAAAAATTTACTAAATACCAAAAATACAAAAAAATACAAGAATTCAATACATTTTTTGTATTTTTATGTATTTATTAATTTTTTAAAATATTTTTTAATAAATTTTTTACTTTTTAGAAACATCTAAGTAAGATGCATCTAAAAAAGTTTTTAAAAAATGTTTAAAATTTTAAAAATATTCACTAAAAACAAAAAGCATGAAAACCAAAAAACTCAATTTTTAAAAAACTTAATCCAAAAAACTCAAACCAAACACAGTACCAAATCTATTAGTAAAAATTATTAATTTATTGAATAACTAATTAATAGTACCTTTGTTGAGGTATTGTAGCAACAATAAAGTAATAATTAGACATAAAGGGTAAATTACACTTTGCTACCTGTATATTTGGTCACTTTTTTATTTTAACCCTTAAAGTTTATTTTTTCCCACTTTGGTTCCTTATATTTCAAGTTTTTCTCAATTTACTCCTAAAGTTAATTTTTGTTCACAATCACGTAGAAAATGTCACAATAACTATCACATAATATAAAAAATAAATTCAACTTGTTTGGTTTACACCGTTTTTCAGAAAATTGAATTTTTTGTTTTTCATTTTTTTTAGTGATTTTTTAAAAATATTTTATGCAAAGTTTTTATTTTTTTATATAAATACACTTAAAATGTATAATATTTGTAGGAAAAAACTTTTAAAAAATTCACCAAATACAAAAAATATATTTTTTTAAAAAGTTCATAAAATTTTGTACCTTTTCATATTTTGTTGTATTCAATGAATTTTGTAAAGATTTTTATACAAATTTTATACTTTTTAAATATATCAAGATTAAGTAGATCTAAAAAGTAGAAAATGTCACAATAACTATCACATAATATAAAAAATAAATTCAACTTGTTTGGTTTACACCGTTTTTCAGAAAATTGAATTTTTTGTTTTTCATTTTTTTTAGTGATTTTTTAAAAATATTTTATGCAAAGTTTTTATTTTTTTATATAAATACACTTAAAATGTATAATATTTGTAGGAAAAAACTTTAAAAAAATTCACCAAATACAAAAAATATTTTTTTTTAAAAAGTTCATAAAATTTTGTACCTTTTCATATTTTGTTGTATTCAATGAATTTTGTAAAGATTTTTGTACAAATTTTATACTTTTTAAATATATCAAGATTAAGTAGATCTAAAAAGTAAAAAAAAATGATTAAAATATTTTTAAAAAACACTAAAATTACAAATTGAAAACTCTGAAAACTATTTTTGAAAATTTCAAACCTAGCAGAGTGATTATTAGATTGGGATTTGAATTTGTGTCAAATATGTTAGTTATATATAATAAAATATTTTTATATCACATTATTGTCAATGTGTCATTTTCTATAATTTTTAACATACGTTAACTTTCAGAGTAAATTGGAAACAACTTGAAACATGAAGGGCCAAATTGAGAAAAAATAAACTTTAAGGGTCAAAGTGAAAATGTGGCTAAATATAAGGGGACAAAGTATAATTTACTCTTAAATTATGGGACAAAATTTTCATGATTTATTTGTTTTGTTAGGTAAAATAAGTTAATTTATACTATAAGAAAAATGATGATTCACACCATCACATATAACACTTGACACTCTAGTACTTAAAGAATTTGATCCCAAAAAAAAAAAAAAAAATAGTACTAAAAGAATGATTTATTGATTTTATTAGTATTTAAAAAGAAAAGTGTGTACACCTAATCTATCTCTCTATCTCTCACTCTCATTTAACATTTACTGACACTTTATTATACTTTTAAAATAAAATAATATTATATACATTAATTAATATATTAATTAGCGTATCAATTGATGATATGATATAATTTTTAAAAATTTAGTATTTATAATTCAGTGGTACTACATGCACCAATTAGTATACTAACTTATGTCACATCATCAATCGATACACTAGTTAATATATCAATTAGTACATATAGCATTATTTTTTATAATTTATATAATGAGTGAAATCAACAATAATATCATAACTAATATTAATACACTAATTAATCTATTAATTAATGCATGTAATACCACCACATTATAAGGACATCAAAATTCGCTCACTATATTCACTTGTTTATTCTCAAATTTAAGTCCCATATTTATACAAAGTTTTTTTTATTATAATTTTATATTTTAATTGTAATTCTATTAATATGTATCTACACCTACTGTCTTTACACGCAAATTTTATTAATTAACCAATAATAAATTAATATTATATAAAAAATTTCATTAAATATGCTATCAAAGTCAGTGTCCACTTTACTCTTTTAACATTAATATAATATATATTTATTTAAATTATATTTTTATAGTGTGATTCGATTAAGATTATTCTCCTACTTTTCATGCATCGTAAAATATTTTTAAAATAATTTTATTTATATGTACATACAAACAAACACATAAATAATACGTCACAACATAATTTTTTTAATAATTTCTAGTGAAGTTACAATTTCATATCATGATAGGGCCAAAATTATTCTTCTACATTGCATACATCACAACATACTTTTTAAAATAATTTTATATACACAAATACACCGACATACACAAAATTAATTTAACTAAATTTATAAAAATATATTTATTTAAGTTATATTTTTATAGCAAGAAATACAAAAAAATTTCTCCTACATTAGAAATACAGCAATACACTTTTAAAAATAATTTTATATGCATATATACATTGACATGCATATAAATAATTTAATTGAAATTATCACGTATATTTATATAAGTTAGATTTTTATAATACAATATATTAAAATTATTTTTTTACATTGCATACACTGTAATATATTTTTTAAAACAATTCTATATACGTATGCACATACATATATATATAATTCAATCAAAATTTATGAAAATATTATTTTTGTCAAACATATTAACGAATGATTATTTGGTGGTTGTGGAATAATACTCCATATTATTTAATACTTGCACTTATCACGCAGTCTTTCATAAAGTAAACAAATTAGTCAATAAAAATCAAATTGAGACGTCACATGGACTTATGTCAAGATCACCAAATAATTTTTCCCGGAACAATCTAGTTAAATTGCAAACTACGCCGCCATGGAAGCAGAATATGCATATGGCAAGAAAGAGAAAAGAGAAAAGTGATTTGTATTCAATTCATGTATATACAATACAAAGCTATAGATATATATATAGGACTATGAGGAGTGATGTACGAGGGAAAAAATAAGGAAATGAAAGAATAAGGTAGGGAGAGAATAAGGCAATTTTTGAACATACCTAATAAAGAGGAGCTTATAATCTAAATATGAAATACAGAATACACAGAATAATATATATATATATATATATATTTCATATATTAACATCCCCTCTCAAACTTAAGGTGGCAAGGTAGAAATCAGCTTCAATTTGGAAACCAAATCTTGGAAACATCCAGGTGGAAGTGTCTTGGTGAAGATGTCAGCAATCTAATCAGCAGTAGAAATAGGAAGAAGATTAATAGTGTCTTGAGTAACATGTTGGCGAACAAAATGACAATCAATCTCAATGTGTTTGGTTCGATCATGAAAAACATCATTATGCGCAATTTGTACAGCACTACGATTGTCACAGTATAGAGAAGTGGCAATGGAAAAAGTAACACCCATATCTAAAGGTAACCAGTGAAGCCAAAGGAGCTCTTGAGCGGTATCAGCAAGAGCATGATATTCGGATTCAGTACTAGAGCGAGAGACCAAGGTTTGTTTCTTGTTACGCCAACATATAAGAGAATCACCCAAGAAAAAACAGAATCCCGTGGTAGAGCAATGATCAGTTGGATCACCTGCCCAATCAGCATCAGAATCGGCACATAATAAGAGTACAGAACGGGAGGAGTAGTGAAGACCATGAAATAAAGTGCCTTTAACATAGCGAAGAACGCGAAGCACAGCAACATAATGTGTAGATCGAGGTGCTGACAAAAATTGGCTAACAAGGTGAGCATCATGTGCAATGTCAGGTCAAGTAACAGTGAGATAAACAAGACTACCTACTAATTGTCGATACAAGGTGGAATTGGGAAGAGGTGTGCCGTCCAGAGGTGTTAGGTGTTCATTAGGCTCAAGAGGAGTAGAGACGGTTTTGCTGCCTTTGCTAGAAGATCAGAAGCATATTTGGTTTGAGAGAGATAATGGCTATCGAAACTAGAAGAGATCTCAAGGCCAAAGAAATATGTGAGAGTACCCAAATCCTTCATCTCAAAGTGTTCACTAAGATACTTTTTTAGTACAGAAATTCAGTGAACATCATCACCAGTAAGAATCATATCGTCTACATAAAGAAGAAGAAGAACAATGCCATGTTGAGATTTGCGAATAAAGAGAGCAGAATCATAAGAGCTGGAAGAAAAACCAAGGGCCTAGATGGTGGAACTAAACCTTGAAAACCATGCGCGAGGAGCTTGTTTGAGTCCATAAAGTGTCTTTTGAAGTTTACAGACCTGATTAGATGAGTGAGGATACCTAGAAGGTGGTTGCATATAGACTTCTTCTTGAAGATCACCATTCAAGAATGCATTTTTGACATCCATCTAAAATAATGTCTATTTTTGAATAGCAGCAACAACAATTAAACTTCGAACAGAGATGAGACGAGCCACAAGTGCAAAGGTTTCTTCACAGTCAATTCCATATTCTTAGGTAAAGCCCTTAGCAACTAGACGGGCTTTATAACATTTGACAGTTCCATCAGAGTGTGTCTTAATCTTGTAGACCCATTTGCAACCAACAAAGGGCTTGTTAGGAGGAAGGTCAACCAATTCCCATGTGCCAGTTTGGTCCAAGGCTTGTAACTCTTCTGCCATTGCTTGCTGCCAAAGGGGGTTAGTACTAGCCTCATGATAAGAGTGAGGTTCATGTTGAGAGAAAATGGTAGAATAACAATGATAGTCACGAAGCAAGACAGAAGGTTCTTTTACCTGGGTGGATTGACGAAGAGATGTATTAGGAAGCATAAAGGATTCAATAGTGAGCTCTGAAGGATCAGTGGATGCAGGGACTTCAAGAGAAGTGGGAGGACTAGGAATAGGAGATGGAGATGCAGGACCTGCAAGAGAGCCAGACTCGGTAGAGGAGAGTGGACCTGTAGTAAGATCATTGGTAGCATCTATATCAACCTCATCATCAGAAAATAGAGGAATGGAGGGATTCGTGAAGAAAGGGGTAGTGGGAGAATCAAAGGTGTGGAATGGAGACATGGAAGAGAACATTTTATGTTCCCAAAAGACAACATGTCTAGAGACACGAAGGCGTTTAGAGATGGGATCCCAACAACGATAACTTTGGTGTTCAATGCCATATACCAAGAAGCAACAAAGACGAGCCCGAGATTCTAATTTGTTACGTTCATGTGGCTGTAATAAGACAAAACAAGCACAACCAAAAACACGAAGATGATAATAAGCCGAGGATTTACCATAGAAATGCTCATATAGAGTTTTATTTTGATAATGGGAGAGGGAACACGATTAATACTGTAAGCAACAATGAGGACTGTAAGCAACGTTCTGGACAAGAGGAGATATTAAAATAGCATAAATAGTGTCAAGAAGGTGATGATGTTTGTGCTCTGCACGACCATTCTGTTGAGATGTGCCAGGACAAGAAGAGTGAGGGAGTGTACCATGGTGACGGAGAAATTTTAAAAAATTAGTTTCTTTATATTTTTGGGCATTATCGGCACGAAAAATTTTGATGGTGCGAGAAATTTGTGTCTTGACCATATTAGCAAAATCATAGTAGTATTGTTGTAATTCAGAACAATTTTTCATTAGAAATAACCATGTAAAGCGCATAAAATCATCCACAAAAATTACAAAATATAGACCCCTCCATGGTAAGATGTGGTGAAGGCCCCCAAACATCAGAATATATGAGATCAAAAGGTGCATGGGACATAGAAACACTTTTATTAAATGGTAAAGATGGTTGTTTGGCAAGTTAACAAGATAAACAATCCACTGAATTATTTGTAACATGACCTAACTAACCACTTGACACTAAACTACGTAAACGACTAAATGACACATAGCCGAGACGGAAATGCCAAAGATCAAGAGTACAACTAGTGGAGGTGGCAACAGTAGGAGGAGAGAGTTGAGATGAAATGTGAAGATGAATGAGCTTGTATAAACGCCCATTTTTACGGCCGATCCCAAGAGTCTTTCCCATCCGGGGGTCCTGCACAACACAACCAAATGAAGAGAAAAGAACAGTAAGACCAAGATCATAAAGTTGCCCAATAGAGATTAGATTGAGAGTAAGATGAGGAATTAAATAAGTGCTAGGAAGAGAAATAGTAGAAGTAGAGACATGGCCTATATGGCTAATATGCATGGGAGATCCATCAGCAGTGTAAATGGCAGGAATATTAGAAGTAGACATGGTAGAAAAGAAAATAGTAGAATCAAATGTCATATGATTACAACAAGCAGAATCAAAGAACCATGATGAGGTACCTGAGGTGACAAAAAGAGCAGTATAGGGTGTAGTAGAGGTAGAGAGAACCTGTTTGACTATGGATTCAATATCATGAAGTGTAAAGGTTTGGTTGGGCTCAGGAGAAGCAACATCGGAGGAAGATGTGGCAGCAGCAGCAGTAGCAGTAGTAGCAGCATAATGAGAATGAGCAGCAGACCAATAGCGGTAATGGGGTCGAGATTAACCTCCTTTGGAACGATTGTCATGAGGTTAGCGATTGGGATTTTTAAAGCAGTCACTCTGATAATGGCCAGGACCAGTCTTGTTGCATCACTTACAAATCCGGATGGGATGATTAGAGTTACGGCAATAAGTACATGATTGGGCAACGGACGATTGGCTAGGCTGATGAGAAGTCGCAAGAACATTATGAGTCTGTGGAGATTTGAGAGAACCAAGACGAGTTTCTTCAAAAAGGAGCTCTAAGATGGCATGTTCTAAAGTTGGAAGCGAATGGCGGTGGAGAAGAGAAGCTCGAACAGGTTCAAAATCATCCCGAAGAGCCATCAAAAAGGATATCAAGCATTGTTCATCTCGATATGTAGAGAACTGACTAGCATCTGCCTTGCAGTTCCATTCAGGTTCAGACAGAGACAATTGATCCCAAACGGCATACATCTGGGACAGAAAAACATTGATAAATTGACTAGACTCTTAGCGCATGTGATAAAGTTGGCTAAGAAGTTGATATTGGTGAGCAAGAGCAGTGGTGCTATAACGAGTCTTTAGAAAATCCTAGATTTCCTTTGCTGTGTCAAAACGCCCAAATTTAACATTAATGGAAACAATGGAAGTATTACGGCACCATGTGATGACCTGCTGGTTTTTACTATCTCAATCATCAAGTCGTTCTTCATATTGAGAGGCAAGCTCATCAATATTTTTGACAGGTTTGACAGTATCACCAGTAACAAGAAACCACAACTTCTTCCCTTTAAGAACATTAGACATGGCTTGAGCCCAAATGGTGTAATTAGAACCATCAAGAATGATGGAAATTGGTTAGGCCATGTCAGAACGATCCATAGAAAGCAACAGAAAAATAAAATAACAATTTTTTTTTTAAAGAGGATAATAAATTAAATAGTGGCAAAAGAAATAAGACAATAAGTAGGGCAGACATTAGCGTAGTGAAGCGCAGCGCATGTTAGCAGGAGTGGCGCAGAATTTGGCTGATGTGAATGTTGAGTGCGCTGACATCAGCAAGCAGGAGGCTGACGCGTAGGGCTGACGTCAGCGAAAGGCCAGAGGGGCGCAGAGAAGGTGCGTGCGGCGCGTGGAATTACACGTAAAAGTTGAGGCGGCGCGTGGGAGCGCGTGAAAGGTTAGTTGGCCTTGAATTTTTCACCGTTGCACTCCTGGTCATGAGAGGAAGAGTTTTATGTATTCAAAAGTTGATTTTGACACCTTTGGTTACTAGGCAAGTTGAGAAAAATAAAGATATTGTCACGACCCCATTCCGCCCCTAGTAGAATGGTGCTGTGATGGCCAGTAATCCAAGATTACCAAAGGCCAACTTACAAAGATTCACACACAAATCAGAGTATACATATGGGGCTTACAAGTGCGAAAGCAATAAATTTAAAACTAAATAGTCCACAAGAGCCGTGCATAGATCAAATGAAATAACATACATCTTAATATAGCTTACAACTTGGATACAATAAAATAAAGTACAAAATGCATCTTGATCAAAAGGCTTCTCAAGCCGACATGTACAAAGAGATAACTACAAGCCAAGAAGCATAATCTTCAAGATGCTACAAAACATGAATCCAAAAACATCTTGCAACAATCACCTAGGCGTCACCGCCTTCCTGCCCGTCACCTACATATATATAGAGAGGGTGAGCTTGGATACTCAGTGAATGATACTAGTAATAAAGGTTTTACAAGAATGATATACAAGATCTCTTTTCTAAACAATACATAGCATACTATATAAAATCAAGGGATGAACCAAGTCCATCAATCAAGTCTTTCAAATCTTCAAGGGATGCTTACTAGCATCAATATAATACAAGGGGTGGCATTAAACAAAGGTGCTACAAAAGCTTAGAGTCCTCTAGCATGTAAGGACTTGTGCTGCAAAGGTTTAGAGTCCCCTAGCACGTACGGATTTGTGCTACAAAGGTTTAGAGTCCCCTAGCATGTACGGACTTTCCAAGAATGTCATCCAAAACAAGACTAATACTTGATACACAAAATAGGGGTATTCATTCATGCTTAACAAATACTTTTTCCAAAACAAAGCAAATCAAAGCAAAGCTTTATCAAAACTTTATAACATAACTTTATCAAAAATACTAGGGCTGAGCAAAGAATCCGTGAAATCCGTAATCCGATCCAGTCCAGTCCAATCCGATGGGTTTGGATTGGTTTTTTGAATCCATGGTTCGGTTCCAGATTGAAAAATTAAAAATCCGTAGCCCACGGATTGGTTTCGGATTGAACCCTACGGTTCCGGATTGGAACCGATCCGGACCGTATGCAAACAGTCTATATTTTTATTATACATCCTCCCTCATAGTATCTTCTCTTATTGTATATAAAACCTAAACTTAAATCTAAACCCGTATAATATCGTCTTTTATTACTTTTATTTGTTAGTTTTTAGTTTTAATTTATAATGGTCTAAATTTTTATGGTAAATCCAGTTTTCTTATGAATGATTGTTTAAATTCTAGAATAGTATGTTGCTATTATAGAAAAATATGTTACTATTGTGGAACTAATGTAGCGCTATGTTTATGTTTTTATGAAATTAAAGTGTTATATATATATATATATTTTTTTTTGTTTAATTATGTGAATCCGTGGTCCTAAACCGATCCAATCCGTACTTAAATGGATTGGTTCGGATTGGTTCCATGATTTAAACGGATTGAATTGGTTCCAATTTTTCAGGAACCGTAGATAACGGATTGGTCTTGGTTTTACCCCAATCCGGTCCAATCCGGACCATGCTCACTCCTAAAAAATACCACTCACATAGTTCTTCGGGTGTAGGAATTACAAGAAAGGATCCAAGGCCTACAAGCACATAATAAAT